ATTCACAACTCCATCAAATGTATTGTAATTGTGTTCATATAGTTCTTGGGTTTGTCTTGGCAGGTAGACTCTCGAGTATTTTAGGTTGGTCTATTTTAAGTGGAATATCTTTTTCTAGCTCCTCTTGCTGGACTTGGTTGGTAATACAGAGAAATGCTGATGGTTTATGTGGGTTTATTTTGTATTTTGCAACTTGGCTGTTAATTATTTCAAGTAGATTTTTAGTTAGTTCTTAGGGAACAATATTTCTTAGACAATGGAATTCAGTTTTGCTTTAAGTACTTGTATGACATATAGTAAGAACTTTCATCAAAGTTAAATGTTTAAGCAATCAACAGCTAAAGTTTGTTATCATATTGAGATTGTCTGGTAACAACTTATCTGCACTACAAAATGACTAGAAGAAATTCAGCTTTTTTTTATAATTTTTTTTTTTGGCTAGGCAGTAGGGTTAAGTGACTTGCCCAGGGTCACACAGCTAGTAAATGTTATGTATCTGAGGCCAGATTTGAACTCAGGTCCTCCTGAATCCAGGGCCGAAAAATTCAGCTTTTTAAAAGTAGATTTATAAATAAGTGCTTGCATTTATCTTATGTTTTTATTTCTAATACTAGAATAACCAGGTGCATCAATTAATACGATTTTTTGTTATAAATTTACTTTAAGGAGAAATAAAAGCAAAAACTTTTCATCCTGTCTCTTTACCATATGGATAAAATTAATGCTGTGCGTCAGTTTCATCCTGTCTCTTTAGTGTCTGGATAAAATGGAGGTTCTGCATCAGTTGATGCAGCGTGGCCCTTCCGGCTGTCAGTTTCACATCTGGCTGTCTTCTCCAGGCCTTCCGCGCTTCCTTGAGATCAGTGAGGCTGGTTTCGTCATTCATATTTCATGGATCAGGCTGCAGATACATCACACCGTGTAGATCCAAACCCTTAGTAGAGACATTCACATCCAGCAAAATTATCTGACTCAGCCTTGTGTGTTCTAAAATGTGCAAGTCTTGAGCACGTAGGACTCAGGGCTCGTAAAAAAGGCTCGAAACAACGTTACTGAGTGCCATGGATTTGTGAGGAAGCGCGGTCAGAGATGACATTGTTTTCTTTTCGGTTAAATTTTGAGTTATAAGTATGAGAGAAAGTAGGAACAAGGAGGATCACTGGGATGGGGCCCGGAGGGCCTTTGGAGGCCACTGAGTCCAGCTCGCTTTTGTACAGAGGAGGGACCGAGGCATGCTGTGGGTGAGGGATCTGTCCAGGGTCCTACGGAGAGGAAGCGTCAGGGCTCCCAGGTGACCTCCGAGAGTCGGAGGGCCGTCATCCCGTTTGTGGACGATGAGAATCAGATCTCTGAATAGGTTTGGTGAGCTCCTGTTGCGTTTGTTGTCTCAGACACTTTGACTTAAACACTGTCAATTCAGGTTATTTGATTTATGCCTTATCACCTCAGCAAAAGTCCCTTGTTATTGTGCTGCTGTTTTTTTATTTATTGCTTAATTTTGCATGAGTTTTTCTAGGCAAATCCTTCCTGACTCATGTGCTGCATTAATTTTTGGACTAGCCCTGTGATTTCACTGATAAAGGGAACTTCCAGTAAAGAAATCCCCTCTACCTATATAGATTGGCACCAGTTTTGCCACTGTGAGAGTCCTAGAGGTGGCAGGGGGCATGGAGAAGTTAGGGCCTTGCCCAGAGTCAAAAAGGAGGCATGAATCTGAAGCCACACTCGTGGCCTCCTGATGCTACGGCCTGCTGGCTACCCTGTGGCTGCATTAGTATTCCTAGTGAAAAGGATTTCTGTACTGCAGATGTGAGTTGTCAGGATGTGTGACTCGGGAGTTGATGGGCCAGAGGGAGCCCCTAGTCAGTCACAGTCTTTGCTACTTCCCTGCGGCTAGTTTTTACCCTAGGGGAGGTAGGTTGATGAGAGTTCTGCGTCCTTGCTCCAGACCTTTATGGAGCATCCTTTGAGCCTGTATCATCTGCAGGCTTGGTTGAGTTAGGAAGCAACATCTGCCTGTGCCCACAAGGGGTTTGTATGAGTGAGGCCAAGTGCTTCCTGGGAGTCTCATGTAGTCTGAATGTAGTAGAGGCAGGGCAGGAACCCAGGCATTCCTGACCTCTAGGTTGGCTGTTTAGCTGGGAACTTCATCTGTTTTCTGGTTGAATTTTAGTTAAACTTACTTAAAATTTAACTCAACTGTCATTCTTATTTTTTAATGAAGAACTAAGTCAGTACACATAGAGCGGGAATGTCTTGGGTCTCTCCAGGACCAAAAAGACAGCAGAACACTGAGATGATGCACCCTTTGTGCCTTGGCTCCCAATTAAAAACAGCCTTTCCAGGGGCGGTAAAAGGTACAGATACGGCTGGGGGAGATTCTGGCCCTGTTAGTGGCATTTGTATTCAATCATGACTTTATAACTGCTTTCTTCCTGGCCTCTTTGTACCTCTCAGAGGCCCAGGCTGCAGGTACAGGGTGAAGAAGGGAAAGGGTCATGACATAATGTTGAGTGGCAGTGGCTTGGTTGAGATGAAGGCCCAGGCGGCCTCTGGGCTTGCCCTCTGAAGTGTACTTCTTGTATAGGTTTTTCAGGTTCACAGAGAAGACCTCAGTTTTCCCTCTTAGGTACAGTTTGTTTACTAGTTGGACAGAGATTGCTAGTAGCTTTTGCAACTTCATCTGGGTTCATTTATTTTTATTTTCAGCCCAATCACTTATTCGTGGGAAGGTGGAAAGCTGATATCAGAGAATGATGATTTCGAAGATATGGTGGTAACAAGAGAAGATTATGAAGAAAATGGACATTGCATATGTGAAGAGAAATTTGATATTTAAAGAACATTCCTGAATGGATGTCTTTATGCAGTTCTTTTTAAAGAAGTTAATGAGCACTATTGTAATCTTTCATCTTGGAAAGTGTCTTGAGTTGATTGACATACTTTGTGTTAGAGCTTTGGAAAGCTTAGCTTCAGTGACTCGTACCATAAATGGTAAGTACAAAGGGGCGTATGTACTTTTATTGTACACTTTTATTTAGGAGCGAGGCTTCTGCTGAGGCTTGCACTAATTTTTTTAGGGCAGGTTACTTTTCATTGATGAATAAAAGACTAAATGCATTTAAAATTTTATTCTTTATAGTTACAAGAACAGATTCAGCCTTTGATAGTTCATTTTTTTGCATATATGTGATTAGAAATAAGACATTTTTTTGGCTTCATTTAGTTTTCATATTCTTTTATATATTATGTACATATGATGGAAATGATAATTTAAATAGTGTTCTAATTTTTACTTAGAGCATATTTAATAAATTGCCTTTAGTGTGTAGTCTTTGTTTGTATTCAGTCTTTATTATTGCTTAAACGTTTCATTTCACTTACTCCACAAAGCATTGTTATTAGTATTGCTTTTGAATGAGAAGAACTGATGTTGGTTTGTCAAGGTTATGAAGCAATGTAGGAGGCTCTGCATTGTTCCAAGGCTTGATGCCTTCAGCACAATGGAATTTGCAAAGAGGAGGATCTGGACCCCTGCCATCTCGTGAGTAATCTGTCTTCAGTGTAGTTTTGGCCCTGGCCGTCCTCCATGATGGTGGCAAATGCCTTTGAAGAGTACATATTGCCCTGTTTTTATGAGTCTTGATAATTAGTAATCCGAGTGTTGTCAGACACAGTTATCTCTCATTACATCTTTTAAGGAATCCTTCAAGATTCCGACATAATACATGGAAGACATATGGTGAGAGGACAGCGTTTAAGGCAACATGTAGCTCAGATACTTGTCAGTCATTAACAAACTCTCGTTGTAAAGGGATTTTGTATCCTCTCTACACCTCTCAGTCTGTGAAGAGGCAGTCTCTTCTAGAACCTGTGTAAAAAGCCAGTACCTTCCCTTCTCAAACCTTCATCACAGACAGTTCTCAGCGTGCACTTACGTTGTTCTTGGAATTGATGGAGACAGCACAGGCTTCAGTAGATATGGATATTTTCTCAAAGTTTTGCAGCCTGCTTGTGAATAACGTCGCGCTGACTGCACCAAGGCCTAGGATGGTGCAGAGCCTCCTGAATGAGATGAAGATCCCTGGAAGGAATTCAGCCTGACTCCACACAGGACGAAGCAGAGTCGCCTCTTGTCCAGATGGGATGCAGCCCAGTAGATGAGCTGTGGAACTGGTCAATCCAGACATTTATCTTAACACACATTGCAGTGACACTGGGCTGCCTTGGGGAAATTGCTCAATATTTTTCATGTTTGTAAAAGCTTTTCTGTGAAACAGAGGGCCAAACTTGTGACCGCGAAGACTCTTCTGGCTTGGTTCTTCACCAGATTCCCCTTGTGTAGTGTGGCAGAAACGAACTTGTCTGCCACCTTAGAGAACTTTGATGATGCCCCGCTACCCATTGAATAAGGTACCAGCTGCTTAGTCAGACCCTCACCAAGATGGCCCAGCTCAGCCTTTTTTTCCAACCATCTTTTGCACTGTCTTGTGTCTATATCTTGTGTTCCAGTTGGAGTGGACTGCTGGTCTCCAGCCAGTCAACAGCTACCATTATGACATGCTGTGCTTTACTGCTGCCATACTCCCTGCCATGTCTCCCAGATCTCCTGATCAGTCATGGGCTTCTCTGGTTCCTAGCACTTTGTGCCTCGTGTCTAGCTTATGTGACTTGTTTTATAGGTGAGAAAACCACAGCTGAAGGCAAGCGACTTCAGTTAAGTGGGTGATTCAGCTGGGACCAGAACCTGAGTCTGTAATGTCTAGTCCGTTGTTCCAGCCATTACACTCAGCAGACCTCCATGTTCTCTGCTAGTTATTTGATTAGTTCTTTTCCACAATAAATGGGAAGCACCTCTAGGGCAACTACTTACTATATCCAGATGCCAGGCACAATTTTCTGAACGTGGTAACCTGATAATTGATTAATTGAATTTTTCCTCTTATTTTCAGATAATACAAATTGCCAAGACTTCACATTTATAAAATGTTCTACATGCATTAATGATCTCATTTGGTCCTCCAGTCACCCATGGGATGTAGGTGCTATTTCCCATTTTGACAGAAGAGAAAATCTACAATTGCACAACAAAGCGGATGACAAATAAACTGTCCAGATTATAAGATGCAGTTGGATTGCAGGAGTTGGCTCAGATTTAAATAGCTGAAGAGATGAAAATATCATATTTGGGGAACTGTATACTTCTAATAGTTCTAAACTGCTCATTGCCATAAAAATGTGCCATTTTAATGCCAAAGGTATGTCAGGGATACTCTGCAGTTGTGAATTATGGAACACCAGGCTCTCAGGAAAATCAAAATTGGTGACCCCCAAAGGCAATGAAAAGATGTGTTGGTCGAGCTGTGAATTGATCATGCCATTCTGGAAAGCAGTACTAAGCTTACTTTTTTTTTTCTTTTTGGTGAGACAGCAGGGGTTAAGGGACTTGCCCAGGGTCACACAGCTACTAAGCATACGTTTTGACCCAGTGTTAATACTAAGTCTATAACCTGAGGAGATCAAAGAAAGAGGAAAGGATCCATATGTACAGTAACAAAACCTTTGAAACTAAGGGTAGAGTGTCTTGTCTACTTGCTGGGGAATATGGATGTAATAGAATCTTATGTCCTAAGAAATAATGAAAAGGAAGTTTCGCAGGAAACTAAAGACTTTTGTGAACTGAAGAAGAGGGAATTAAATAGAGCCAGGAGAAAAACTTTAAACAACAATAACAATATTTATCATAATGAAAACCTTTCGACTAGAGAAAGATGAAAATTCTAATGAGTGCATTGCCACACCTCAATTACAGAGGCTGGAAGATGAAATACGGTAAGCCAGGGAGGTAATGGACAGAAAATACAGAATAAGACCTGATTTTATAGAGCCAATATGGGGATTTGGCCTACCTGATTACGCATAACTGTTATGTGGGTTTTATTTTTAATTTAGGTTTTTTAATTTAAATTTTTTTTTGATGTCCTGTGGAAGGATTAGGAGGGAGAGAAAAAATGCTTCATTGAAAAAAATAATAAATTTTTTTAAAAATTAGGGTAAGAATAAGTAGGTTGTAGCATATTACCAATAAATTACCTTAAGAAGTAGCAAAAAAGATACAATCGGGAAGTGTGTGCCTAGGAAAGGGCTGGTCATGCAGCAAAAGAGGGAAAGGGAATTGCCCAGGTGCAGAGTGGTGCCCTGGTAAACATGAAATATAAAGTAAGCAAGAGAAGGCTGTGGATGCTTGGGATGGAAGGCAGCTCTGCGGGATTTATGGACAAGCATTGCAAAGGCTAGGAATGTAGGGATCGCTATGATCCACACCAGAGGAAAGAGCAGTCATGCTGAAGGTGCTCTTCTCTCGATTATACCTTTAGATCATCTTGAGTCATTTACATTCCAGCAGCAAAGGGAAAATGGCACCAGTGTGGAAAGATTCTTGTCCAGAGCTTCAGTGAGGAAGCTTTCCTCACTGATGCCCAGAAAGACTTCTCAGGGATTTGACTGCATCAGACCCCCAATGATAGCAGCATCACTTCTAAAACATTCAGTAGTGTAAACTATTTAGTAGAGCACAAGTAAGTGATTCAGTAGCATGATTGAGGGATGAACTGCCTCTTTTTAAAAGTTAAATGTTTGCTGAATAAACATGGCATATGGATGCTATACTTTTCATCATATTCCTTCTACGAAAATGTTAATCTGGCAGTTTTAAAAAGGAACCGGTATAAAGAAAAAAGCTCTCTACCCTCTACAAGAACCCAGCATACAAAACTGCATCCAATTTCTTGCCCCTAAAACGTTAATTCAAAGCTGATGGGTGATGTTTCTGAAATTCCTTCATCAGTTTCTTCTTCTGTTTGAAAGGAATACTAGAGCTGATGTTAATCTCCTGAATCAGCTGCTGGAGCTCTTCAGTTGTCCTTTGTTTCTGTTCCTCATATTCTTCACGAGTCAAACGCTGACAAAATGTGAAACCTTAAAATAACAATTATGCAGTTTAGAAAACAAAATAAAAATGTTTACATAGGTCTTGTAATACTGTGCTCAGATGCATGTATGAACAAGACTGCCTCATGCTGAATACAGTTTTTCCGAGGTCTGAATGACAGTCATGTTAAGTGTTGTCCTCCGTAAATGCTTCTTTGCTTTTAGGTGATCTAAAAGTACAAATGACTTCATGACTACTGGAAGGACAGTAAGAGTTAACATTTCTACAGCACTCAGCTTTGCAGAGCCCCTTACACAGGTTATCTGATTTCATCCTTAGGGGTTGTCCTTCATTTTTGAAGAGGACCAAAATCAATATGTTAGAGCCAAGTCACAGTGTGTCTGACTGTGGCTGATCAGAACAATCTGAACTCAGAAGGCTCCACTACAGGTCGGGCACAAATAGTCCAAAAACCAGTTCTCGGTTGGTGAGAAGTAGGTCCAGAAGAGCAGTGCCCTTTGCTAATCCCTCCACTATTCCTAGAAGACACGTACCCTTTCAGTAGAATGTAAGCTCTTTGAAAGGAGGGGCTATTTCATTTCTGCATTTCTGTACCTAGTGCCTAACACTGCTTGGCACACAGGTGCATAATATATGCTTGCTGATTGACTGAAGGATGGAATTATTAAGACAAGCATGACATTATTAGCTGCTCTACTTTGGGCAGACAGAGCACTCCGTAGATGTCAGGATAATCAGAGTTTCAATTAATTTTAGATCATACCCCCATCCCATTCCCAAACTAGTTTATTTCCTTTTTCTGTTCTGGTGGTCTAGACAATACTGGTTCTATTTTTGCTTCTTTGACCTGTACTTCAGTGGTCTCACCCTTGCTTGTCCTCCCGTCCACCTCCTGAATTTCCTCACAAGGAACAGTATGTTCTTAACATACAGTGTTACTCTTCCTACTGGACTGAGCTTTCTCTTTTTGAATAAGGTATTCCATTTGAGGACCATATTCCACTACTTCTTAGTAATACTTAAGATGTCACCTTTTCCTTCTTGTCTTTGATATTTAGCTCACCTTGAGTCTTAGCTGAATTTTGCACATTTATGTATAGATATCTGAAGCCATGGATTTTATTAATGGCTCATTAAAAAAAAAAACGGTCTCTGTAATTTCCTAGGCATTTTTAGTGCTATTCTTCCTACAATGTTACTATTCTCTCTGTTTGTTAGCTCGATGGATAAAAGTTGGTAGTTTTCTGAACTACAAATTTTGCAAAGATGAATTTTAGTAATTAGGATCATAAGACCCAGTTGCATGTTCTTAAAAAGTTCTTTGGCATAGTGGATATGAGAAAGAAAAGGCATTAGAATGGTTTTCTTGGACTCTGTTCCCTATCTTAAGACCATCCTCACCCTCACCTATAAAACCTCTTTCCCCAACAATACAGAAATGAGAAAGTCAGACTAGAAATAAAAGAGGTAAGAATATAAACAAAGTGGCCAAAAAATATGTATTTTAGAGAGGCTATCACCCACTTGGCAAAAGTATAATATAATGAAAACTCTGTAAGAAGGAACTGGGATGCCATTCACTTGCCCTAGAAATAGTGGGGGGAAAAGTTGGCTTAACTGAGCTACCTTTGACAACTTGATAAAACACTAAAACTCACTGTCCCCCTTCCTGCACGTGTACGTTACACCTCCTCCATTCCTGGAGTGACAATCTCTGTCTACTGAAATTCTTTTTTTTTTCTTAAGGCCAAAATCAAGTGTCACCTTCTTCTACGAAGCCTTCCTTCCATGCCAATATCACTTCTATGTACTTAATTATATTCTGACGTATACATATTAGTTATTTGTGTACCTGTCTCAGCTCCTCTTCCTATCCTCACCACCCCCCAAATCCTAAGTTTCTTGGGGGCAAAGCCTCTATTTTTATAACCTGAAGCAGCAAATAGAGTGCCTTGTGTGTAGGCGGTGCTTAAGTAATACAGCCTTACTGAATTTAACTGCAAGAGGCACACAGTTCAGTTTTGTACCTGATATAAGATCTGGATCTTCTCCATGAAGAAGGCTTCTGAATTTCCTACTGACCAGGTCCAACAAATTCAAAGGTGTCTATATAAAAACAGATAATGTTTGATTTAATTAGAACTAAAAATGTAAGGTATGGTTTCTGTCTAGAATATATCAATAGTGAAATCTAATTCCTATATCAGCTGAAGGCACAGTGGATAAGGTGGTATACATTGAGTCCGAAAGACCTGGGATCAAATCCTGTCTCTGACACTAGCAGTGTGACCATGAACAGGTCATGTAACTTTTTTGAACCTTGGTTCCTTATCTGCATAACAGAGATAATAATAACTCTACTGTCTTTCTCACAGGGTTGTTTTATAGGTCCTGAAAATAAAGGATATTTTAAATTAAAGGATATTTTAAAAAAGAAGATGTTTCATTATTTTAAGTCCAGGCTTTGCTAGAAACTAGGGTCACCATCCATGGCCTTCAGAAGTCCAGGTGTAGTGAATCCACAAATGATTTGTATTTAACAAATCAGAGCATTTCTCAGAGCAATGTTAACTAATGTCTCCATCATAATCACATGAAGTGCAGAAAAACATTTTTGTAAAGTCGGGAAATACTCCTCTTCCAGTTTGCTTTGTATCGAACATTATTCCCGACAGGAGCAGGCTGGCAAGAACGCGGCTTCTCTGGCAGTGCTGCAAGGAAGTTCTTGTCCCTCACAGTTGCTACTGGTAGGTTCTGCTTCTCTTCTTTTCCTCTTGTTTTTTGGTACAATCCTTTCCCAATACAATGACCTTCTCCCTCTCTCCAGCCACTGGGCTTTCTCTTTTAAATAGGAAAGGCAGTTCGTTAAAGTCAGTCAACAGAGGCCGCCCTCAGCAGTTCACCCAGGAGCTCTCCACCACTCTTCATAGGGGAGGAAGTTGGGTTTTTTTTGATCGTCTGCCCTCCAAAACCAAGATAGATCACTTTACCATTACCTGGAGCCCAGCTGCTTTTCGGTTTTGTTTTTTTGTTTAAAACATTATAGTTGCTGTATACACTTTTCTTTGTTTTTCTTCTCTCTGTACCAGTATATACAAATTATTTCTCAGAATTCCTCACATTTCTCATTTCTTACTTCACGATAATAAAATACATTAGTATACTACAATTTCTTCATTTGTTTTCCATTCAATGGACACTTTCAGTTCTATTTCTATTACCATCACAAACAGTACTGCTGTAAATATTCTGGAATATTTGAGAATGTTTTGCTTGTCTTTGGCCTTCATAAAGTATATGTTCAGTAGGGGGATTGCTGGGTCAAAGGTTGTTAACAATTTATCGACTTTTCTCATCTAATTCCAAGTTGTTCTCTTTTCTATCAGGTCTTTAAAAAAATTTTTTTTCAAATAACCAAAACCTACCTTCTTTCCCTCCCATTGCCTAATGGAAAAACAAAGGGGAAAAAAACCCAAAGTCCCTGTGACAAATATTAACAAAACACATTTACACACACACACACACACACACACACACACACAGAGTCTTAGTCTATACACTGAGTACATGACCTCTCTGTTAGAAGTTGGCAGCATGCTTCATGATGAGTCCTCTGGAACCGTGGTCCATCATAGTGTTGTTCAGAGTTCTCATGTCTTTGAGTGTTTGCTTTTTACAGTATTGTTATCATTGTGTTAACTGTTCTCATAGTTTTTCTCACTTCATTCTCCATCAGTTCATACCTATCTTCCCAGGTTTCTCTGAAACTATCACCTTCATCATTTCTTATACCACAAGAGTATTCCATTACATTTATATGTCATAACTTGTTCAGCCATTCCTCAAGTGATGGGCATCCCCCTCAGTTTCCAGTTCTTTGCCACCACAAAGAGAGTTGCTACCAATATTTCTGTACATATTTGTACAATGAACCCTTTTCCTCTTTCTTTTATCTCTTTTGGGTATAGATCTACCAGTGCAATCACTAGGTGTGCACAGTTTGGTAACTTTTGGGGTAAAATTCCCAACTGCTTTCCAGAAGGGCTCAACCAACTCAGAGACCCACCAAAAGTACATTAATGTGCAAGTTCTTCAATAGCCCTTGTCACATTTGTCAGTTTCCTTTTTTTGACCAGCTTTTCAAATGCGACAGGTGTAATAGGGAACTTCAGAGTTGTTTTAATTTGCATTTCTCTAATTACTAGTGATTCAGGGCATTTTTTCATATGGCTTTTGATTGTTTGCATTTCTTCCTCTGTAAATTGCCTGTTCAGGTCCTTTGACCATTTATTGATTAGGGAATGGCTTATTCTTTTATATTTGAATCAGTTCCCTATATATCTTAGAAATTAGGCTGTTATCAGAGAGACTTGCTACAAAGATTTTTTTCTTCATTTACCTGCTTCTCTTCTACTTTTATAAAACCTTTTTAATTTTATGTAATCAAAACTGTCCATTTTACCTTGTTTGACCACTTCTTCCTTGTTCCTCTAATCTGTTTAAGTCACCTTTTATGTCTGCTGTGTACTCATTTCAAATTTATCTTGGTATATGGTGTATGATTAATAAACATTTATTAAGCACCTACTGTATATGCCAGGCATTTTGCTAAATGCTGAAGATAAATTGGTCTATACCTAGTTTCTGCCAAACTTTTCCAGTTTTCTTAATTTTTTTTGGTCAGATACTGGGTTTTTTCTCTAACAGCTGGGATCTTTATGTTTATAAAATATTAGGATACTGTGCTCCTTTGTGCTGTATGATGTGTATACCTAATCTGTTCCATTGATCACCCTTTCTATTTCTTAATAAGTACCAAACTATTTTGCTGATTTGTAGTACAGTTTGAGATCTGGTACTGCTAGCCACTATCCATTTTTTTTTCATTATTTCCCTTGAAATTCTTGACCTGTTTTTCCTTCAGGTGAATTTTGTTATTATCCAAGTTGTCTTCCAGAATTGGTCAGGTGATTTACAGTTTCATTATCACACAACTGGGATTCTGACCCAGATCTTCTAACTCCAAATATGATAATTGCCCTGGATCTCCTTCTCCAGACTGTGTCAATATTATTATCCTCATTTTACAAGTGAGAACAAGACTAGGAGACATTAAAAAACTAGTCTATAGCCAGAGTTAATGGCTAAGCCAGGGCTCAAACCCAAGTCTTCTGATTGTGACCAGTGAAAGAAAAGGTAACAGTCATAGAGATCTTTTTTTGGGGGGGGGCAGTGGTACCCCGAAGAAGAACTGCTTGCTAGAGATGTTACACACAGTATAACAGAAACTTCAAATAATACATTAATGCCTTTGCAACTAAAAGTATTACTCTATGACCCAGGAGCGGAAGGCAGTACTGAGGTTAAAAAAAAAAGTTCCAAACATACAGTCTTCATTAAATGCTCTAATTACTTAAATTCACAAGGACAGGTATGTCCAAAAGACTGATGAATCTCCACCTGCCATTTAGCTTTTGGATGTTAAAACAACTGAATCCACAGAATGAGAACAGTGTATACAATGGCAGTATTACAAAGAAAAAACACTTTGGAAAGGCTGAAGACCTCTGGTCAATGCCAAGAGCCGGGAGGACTGAACTAATCAGTTGCCTCCACAGGGATGGACTGAAAAGGCAGAATGAGGGCATGGGAGCTTGTTTTGTTAGCATGTGCAAACTTGATATAAACGTTTTCTTTTTACTGCTCAGTGGGGGTGGGGAAGAGATGACAAATGCTTATAAAAAACAGTTACCTAAAAAAGTGGAATAAAGATAGCTTAGTGCAAATGTGCCAAGGGAAAATAAAAAAGATACCTTAAGAAGCTCACAATGATTCTCAAGCAGAAACTGGACCAGTTGCTCAGTTTGTACTTTTGACAATGACTTGTTTTGCAAAACAGCTTTGGTAAGCATTTTCATGACCACTGTTCTATTATCATACTGCAAAAAGAGAATGCAGTTAACAGGAATGAACTATTTTATTAGAAGAACAAGAGAAAAATGCAAACACGTTCATGTTTCAAATACTGGTCATACCTGTTTTTGTAACTTGTAGCCATGAGAGTCTGACGCTGTGGCCATAAAAGTCAGGAGTCTACGTAATTCCTCCCTGACATTGGGGAAAAGGAGCCTCAGGTAGAGCTGCGACGCTTCCAGAGCTTCTATTTGCCTCCCCTTCTCTGTTACAGGTATCACAAACAGTTCAAAATGCACACCAATGAACGTAGCAATATTTGGATTTTAAATTATCAGCACACTACAGGACAGAAGTAGCAGAATAAACGCTATAAAATTAAGCACAGTACTTGGCTTAGAAGTTAAATTTTGTGGCTACTTCAAGACCATGAAAAATGTTATCAGGAAAAGGTCACTTGACAATCTGAGTCTTGCTAAAATGTTACCAGATTCAAAGAACATAAGAAGCTACTAAATGCAAAAGTAATTCAGTTTCTTTAGCTTTAAGTTTAAATATATGTGATAAAAATTAACTTAAGATTAAATATTTCCTCCTTGAAATTTCACTCTTACCCAGAAGTTCAATAATTCCTGAATGAACATCAGAATAACTGTCATTAAGTAAACATTCTCTTTCTTGATTATAATATTTTACTATAATATCAAAGAATATCTTCTTATGAATATTCAGTTTTGTTTCTTCGTTAGTGTTTTGACCTAGCTGCTGACTAACCATCACTATTAGCTGGTCTGGGAACTATTCCAGGCATTCAATTGCTGCGTTGAGCCAACTGTCAATCCTGGAAAAAATAAATAAATCATAGGTTAATATTTCTAACTGCAAAAAAACATTGTTTAATGCTATATTATATACATACATGTATTATGTAAACTTTCAACAGAAAACTAAATTTATATAAGCAACCGCAGTGAGAGTTATTTAAGATTATCAAAGTAATAGACTTGATTTATTGTCCATCAATTTATGATGGGCCCAGGATCAAACAGGAGAGAGGGCAGGACTGCCTTTGGGAGACCACAGGGCTCTTTTAGGGACACCAAACTTCTCCCTGAGATGAAAATCTCTCTTTTTAATATCTATATTTTACTGGTGTTTTAAGGTTACAAGACATAAGACACTGGAGTCCCTAAATGACTGAACATGGGCATCACTTGGGAGGGCAATGGAGAGGGCCATGGTAGGGTGTGATCAGGGGGCCACACTGCCCTAGGAGCCAACATGGAGCTATGAATTAGAACCACAGGAAAGCAGGACAAGTGATCCACGAATATGAACTAGAATTCTCTAGGGAATAAGTGCACACTTTTAACATCACTGAAAATAAGAGATACACAAATCAAAATAATCTGAGGTTTTATCTCACATCCAGCAAAGACCCCACAGTGGGAACAGTTAATGATGGCAGGCCTATAGAAAGACAGGCATGCTACCATACTGCTAATGGAGCTATAGACTGGTCCAAACATCCTGGAAAGTGACCTGTAATTACGTTAAGAAAAGTGCCTAAAACACCTACAGCCCTCAACTCAGAGATCCTGCTGCTAGGTGTACTCCCTAAGGAAGATAGAAAGGTTCCATTCATGCCAAAATATTCACAGCAGCACTTTTTCTTAAAGCAAAGAACTAGGCAAAAAGTAGACTGAGGAAAGGCTAAACAGAGAGATACCAAAATACAATGGGTCACTGCTGTGCCCTAAGAAACGCCACAAAGAATCCAGAGACTTCTAAGAAGACTGACATGAACTGATGCAGAGAGAACTCAATCATAAAGACAACTCATACAAAGACTACAAGGTAGCTAATAAGGAGGGAGCCCTGAGAGGGCTCACCTTCCTCCCTTCTTTGCAAAGGTGAGGGGTTACAGGCATAAAGCACTGCATAAACAAGGGGTCACCAAAGCCTATTCAACTATTGGAGCTTATAGGTGCACTGAGACTTTGGGGACAGCCCTTTTCTGTCAGACTTGGTTAGTTTTACTGAACTCTTTTTTAAAAAAATAACCAATTAAACCAAAAAAGAAGAGGAAGGTGGTCATGTGACCAGAGCTGGGATAACTGTTGGTGGTCTAATTTCAATATGAAGTAAGGAAGACCTCCGGATACTCTATGGTGAACTCAGGGGAGGTCCCCCCCCAAAAAAAGAGTCCAAAGGGAAGCAGGCATGGATGAACTGTGATCATATCCCTGGAAGGAACAATTATAGACTAAGAGCCATGTGGTCCAACTCCTTCATTTTAAAACTGTGGTCCAAGGAGGAGTTAACATCAGTGAGATCACAGATCCACTTAAGTATCTGAATACTAAAAGAAAACAATCAAAAAAATATCATAAAGAACAACAGGGAAAGGCTAATTGAAAACCACGTTTGACTTCCTTCATTTCCTTATATACCAGCAAGGAGCAACAGGGGCTGGGGCCAGTTCAGAAAGAACTTTTATTTGTCCTGATTTTAGAGTAGACAATTCAGCCAAGCTGGATCCAGTCACACACACACACACACACACACACACACACACACACACACACACACACAGAATGTGCATGCGTATACTCATATATATTGAATACAGAAATGTGAGAGAATTCACATAGACTCCATTAGAACAATGTCACATTCCATATTCCTGTGTGACTTTAAACACCAAATACAAAATATGAGCAAGAAAGCTTTTAGTAATAACAATAATAATGACGACTACCATTTATATGACCTTTTATCTGTTTGATAATAAAGATGCATACTTACTCAGACAAACTGAGGCCATGAATAACCTCTCTATCTAAACAAGTGTTGGAGATGATGAGATCTTCCTCTCGGTTCAACTGAACATTCTGGTTTTTTATTGGAGGCTCTAAAATACTTTCTAAGATTGGAAGGTGAATTAATTGGAGGAGTCTTAACAATGTTTGCACTTTCCACACATCTTCCACAACTTAAGAAAAGACAAGGAAAAAAAAAACAACCCATCATCAGTAAGCCATATAAACCAATAAACAATTTCCAATCAGGTATTTCTACTAATTAGCAACAGTTTTTGTTCCAGTCCCAGGATTTTGTGGGTGAGAAGACTTCCTCCACCAAGGCAGATCTTAGCACTCACTCTTCAATTTGTCATCTTAGAATTTTTTTGGGGGGATGCTAAGAGGCAAAGTGACTTGCTCAGAGTCACATGGCCATTATACGCCAGAAGCTAGACTTGAACCCACGTCTTCCAGGCTCTGAGGCCAGCCCTTTCTCCACTATGCCATTTTGCCTCACAATATGCAGAATGGAAAAAAAAAATTCTCAGTACACTGTAAGAATATAATATACTCTGAGGTGAAAGGATATGTGTATAGGAAGCAAATGGCAATTTAAACAAGAAAACTATAAATAAATGCAATTCAATACATTACAGATAAAGACTACCCAGAGAAAAGAGCAGAAGGTTTGCAAGATCAGCAAGGCAAGAACAAAGTGAGAAGCACTGGGTGGAGCCCATGGAACCCTGTGCCTGGGCCGGTAAGCCCTTGGTTTGAATTCTGCCCCCACATGTACTCCGCTGCCCTACTCAGCGCCTGGGACGCTCTATCTCCTCCCTTCCACTTGGGCTTCCTTCGTGAATCAGCTCAAATTCTACCTTCTGCAGGACACACTCTCCAGTTCCACCCACTGCTAGTGTCCTTCCTCTGAGATGACGTCCCATTTATATCGTGTAAACTTTGTACGTGCAGTTTTTTGCCTGGCATCTCCCCAGTTAGAATGTGAGCTCGCTGAGGGCAGGGATTATTTTTGTTTTGTTTTTGGTGAGGCAATCGGGGTTAAGTGACTTGCCCAGGGTCACACAGCTAGGAAGTGTCAAGTGTCTGAGGCCTGATTTCAACTTAGGTCCTCCTGACTCCAAGGCCAAAGCTTTATCCACTGCTCCATCTAGCTGTCCCACAGGGATTATTTTTGCATTATTTGGCTCTCCACTGCTTAGCACATCTATTAAGTACTTAAAAAATACTTGGGGACTGTTGACTGACTCACTGACACAAACTGTCTCTTGCTGGGTAAATCATTTGCCTGGGAAGCTTCTCTGCATCCTCACTGGTAATGAGAACAATGATGCTTGTACCACCTACTTCCCAGGGTTGTTAGAACAGTAAGAGCTAGCATCCATCAGACACCCTAAGGACCACAAAGTGCTTTACATATATCACCCCATTTGATCTTCACAATTGTCCTGGGAAGGAATACTATTTTCCCCATTTCACAGATGAGAAGCTAAGGCAAATGGAGATTACGTGACCTGCCCAGGATCACACAGATAGTAAATGTCAGGGGCAGGATTTGAACTCAGGTCTTCCTGACTCCAGGTCTAGCGCTCTATCCATTGCACCCCCTAGCTTCTAGAAAATGCTCTGAAACCCTCAAAAAACTGTGTTAGTTAAAAAAAAAAGCTATATAAGGAAATAGCTAACAGGTGTGTTTCAAGATGTAGAGGGGTTGGTGTAAGAAAATGAAATTCAGAAGGCAGAAAAGGTAGCAATACCCTGGTCATCATTACCAAACACCTGTCAAGAGTCTACAGGAATGCATAGAAGACACATGGACACAGGCCAGGCCTGTTTGCGTCTTCCACCAGAAGAGTTTCTATTGATGGAGCACCTTCTGGGCCCACAATACTCTCAACACACATTCTTTCATTACAACAACCCTATGAAGCTGACAGGTCAAGTCAAATTATCCTCATTTCCCTATAAGGAAATTGAGAGCCAGAGAAGTAATTTATTCAAAGCTATATAGCTAGTAAGTGATAGTGGTGGGAATGGAAGCCAGATCTTGAGACTCTAAGCCCCCTGTCCTTGTTGTTATACCATACTGCTTCCCTAAAATGAGGGGATTAATTTAGACCAGGGAGTCTCTTTGTAATCTTAAACATTTTGTCTATTGAAAATATATTATTCTGAGAAACAGGTCCATGAACTATTAAAGGGATCCATGATATAGAACAGGTTAAGAACTCTCGGACTAAATGACTTGTAAAGTTCCTCGTGGCTCCAAAACTCCATGATTTTACTTTTTAAAAAGTTTTATGGGGTGACTCCTTAAAACACTATTAATTCAGGTGTCTGAAATCTATATTCATTCCATTCATCCAGATCACTGTTTAAGTAAATATCAGGCCAAGAATCAACTCACCATTTATTCTTAGCACTGCTTAGAACTGACATAATTCAAACAACATTTCTATCCACTGACTTGGAAAATAAAAATTATGACACTATAAGGCTCACGGTTGATATCTCTATCTTAAAAAGTCAGTCTGTTTCTTTTCTTTTTTTTTTTCCATCTTGACAACTGTTTTTCTTCCAGAACTGCATTTCGCCTAATGGAGAATGGCCTACCATGTTGGTGATATTTACTGCACTTCAGTATATCTTTGTAAACCTTCACTCTCTAATTCCTCCTCTCTGTTTGTGCAAGATTTATATAGCAAATGCCTCACTAAATTATAAAAGCCCTCAGCTTAAAAATAAAGTTAAATTTTGTTTTCTGTTTAGATTTCTAAGAGGAACTTTGTCCAGTTTTCCTTTTTGAATGTTAAAAAACATATTTTGAAATTCACACAATTACTGAAGGAGGCCGCATGCTACCATGGGGAGACGGCCTGCAGCGAAGTCAGAGAGCTGCTGATGTTCAGACCCCAGTCCTGCCGCCCACTAAGTGACATCAGACTCCTCAGCTCTAAAATTAGGGGTTGGCTTTGACGGCCTCTGAGGACCCTCCAGAACTAGGAACCATGCATGGTCTTGTGAACATCCAGAATGGGGGTCTTCGCAATGCACTTCTGAAACCCTTCGCTGAAATGAAAAGTTGTGTGAAGAAGGCACATCAAGAAAAACATCAGCAGGAGCGCTCATCTCACCGCTACCCAAATATTCATCTTTAGTGCCTCTGGGCCAATTCAAGGCCATTCATTTATTGAGCACCACTATGTACAAAGTGTGTGGCTAGGTGGCGCAGTGGATAGAGTGTCAGGCCTGAAATCAGGAAGACCTGAGTTCAAATTTGACCTCAGACATGTACTAGCTGTGTGACCCTGGGCAAGTCACTTAACCCGGTTTGCCTCAGTTTTCTCCTCTGTAAAATGAGCCAATGAAGGAAATGGCAGACCACTCTAGTATCTTTCCCAAGAAAACCCTAAATGGGGCGATGGAGAGTTGGACATGACTGAACAACAAAAATGTACAATGTACCACATTAGGTGATGGCACATCACACACACACACACACACACACACGGACTTCTGTCTGTTTACATGGGATACTCTCTTTAACTTTATAATCACCTCAGCCTCTCCACAGAATGCAAACCTCCTGAAAGCACGGACAGTTGTCATTTTTGTATTTATACCCCTAGTACCTGGCATTTAGTAAATGTTGCATAAATGATATCATCGGATTGAAAAGGCTGGCTGCTGGCATTTTTAGTTTTTGGATTTTATGATAGATGCTGTCATCTAAACAGTGCCAAGTTGGATGGGAATTGATTGGAGGCAGGGAGTAATGTAGCATTGATAACAGGAAGGTAATCTTTCTGATTTGACATGCTGTGACTTTTTTGTTTGTTTAGATTTTTGGTTACCCTATGCATAATACATGAAAAATTGAATGATATAATATGAAGCAATATATGATTACATGTCATTGGAGTGGCATACACTGCTAGTTTTCAAGGAGTTCCTGGGAAGGAGTCACAAGAATGTTTAAAGAAGAGTACAGGTTGGTTTTTTAGAATGTAAATTGGGTCCCAGGCCACATTACCAACAAGATGGAGGACTAGACATTTTCTTTGCTTCTCATGACTTTTCAGACCTCTCCAAAATAGGAATGAGGTGCAAGAGATAAAGTTGTTTCAGTTGTCTCCATTGTCTGGGTCACCAAGAACTCAGAGGTAAAAACCTGATGATCTAATAACAGAAGAATTCCTAACTCCTAACCTGCTTATTCAACATCCCCTCTCTCACCACTCACTGTAGTAGTGCTACACAAGCTGACCCACTAGCTCGCAAAAGAATGAAGCTGTTCATCTGGACACCCCACCCCCACCTCATGCTGCAGAGATCCACACCACCGTAATTTTTTTGGGGGGGGGCAACTGGGGTTAAGTGACTTGCCCAGGGTCACACAGCTAGTAAGTGTCAAGTGTTTGGTCTGAGGCCCGATTTGAACTCAAGTCCTCCTGACTTCAGGTCCGGTGCTCTATCCACTGCACCACCTAACTGCCCCCACACCACAGTAATTTGCTCAGACTCTGATAGCAGTGTAAAGGTGCTCTGTGCCACAATAGAGCTTGGCCAGAGGAAAGGGGGCAAAGCACATGTGTGGCTATGTGGCATTCCACTAAGCCAGAGGGAAAGAGCCCAACATCCATTTGAGGCCAGTTCTGTCTCCCCAAAACTCTTGGGGCAAAGTCTGAAGCTGGCGAACTATAAATTGCCTGTTGTAGGAGAGGGCTGAAACTTGAGATCCAGCCTCCCAAAGAAACTATTGGAAGAGGAGAGAGTTATAAAGTGAACAATAGGGGAAAATAATGAAAAAACAAATTTACCAAAAATTTCAGGAGGAAGGGAAAAAATCTAGAATATAAAGAAAAGATAATAATGAAGCAAATAAGGGAAAAGAAATTCCCTTTAGAAGAGGTCAAAAAATGAAATTTTAAAAACTAATGAGGAAAACAAATTAAAGATGAGGAGAAGCAAGGGAATTCCATTTAACTACTTAACTGAAAAAAAGAGGAATAATTTAGTAAGTAGTTAAAAGTGAGAAAGAAAAAGGAACTAATAAGCAAAAACTAAGGAAAGAACTAACAAATGATAGGAGGTCCCCTTGAGGGTGAGAGGGAAGAGAACTGGTATTATTTTAAAATAGACTGAATTAAAATAACTGAAAAGACACAGTACTGTGCTTACAGAGGAAGAGGGAAAATATAATATGGGAAAAGGCATATTAGCCACAAATGGAGGAAAACATAAAATCTAATTTATGACTTTAAATGTGAATGGATTAACAATCCAATAAAATGAAAAAGTATGATAAGAAAAAAAATCCTACAATCTGTTGCTTATAAGAAACATTTAAAAAACAAAGACATACATGATAAAAATGAGGGGCTGAAAAAAAGTTAGTATGCATCAAATGAATCCAAAAAAACAGGACTGGTAGTCACGTTATCAGACAAAGCAAAAACAAACATCCAAAACATAAAAAGGAATAAACAAGGAAACTATGTTTTAGCAAAAAGAATCATGGGCAATAAATCGATATGAGTATTAAAACCACATATTCCCTTTGACCCAGCAGTACCACTACTCGGTCTATTTCCAAAGATGATTAGGGGAAAAGGAAGAGACCCTATATGTTCTAAAATGCTTATAGCAGTTCTCTTTGTGATGGCAAAGAACTGGAAATTGCAGGGATCCCCATCAACTGGGGAATGGCTGAACAAGCTGTGGTATATGATTGTGATGGAATACTACTGTGCTATAAGAAATGATAAGCTCAGAGATTCTGGAAAAACAGAAAGACTTGCATGAAATAATGAAAAGCAAAATGAGCAGAACCAAGAGAACATTATATAACAGCAAGATTGTTTAAGAGCGACTTTGAATAAATTGTTTTGTAGGAAAGTATCATGAATGAAATGGTCCTTGACCATGTGAGGCCTGGAAAGATGGCTTGACTTTTGATTGGTAGAGATGGGAAGGTGGGCTGTTCCAGGCAGAGGAAACTTCATGAGCAAAGAAAGTGGGAATCGCATAAAGCACTGTTTGAGAAAGAATGTAGTCATCTTGTAGTACATGGTGGTGGCAGTGAGACAAGGTTAGTAACAGGGTGGAGGGGGAGATAAGGTAAGAAAGGGAGAGTGAGGCTAGAATGAGGTAGACCCTGAATGTCAGGAGTTTATTTGATAAATAGTGGGAAGCCCCTGATTGTTTCTGAATAAGGGGATGGCATGCTCTAAAGGAGATGAAGCTGGTAGTAGCACATCAGATGAATTGGAAGGAAAGGTTGGAGATAGAGGAGTCCAATGAAGAGGCTGCTGTTGTACTTTTGGCTTGAAGAGACAAGTTGGGTTTGGGCTAGAGTGGAGAGTAGGGAAGGGTTTGCTAAGAAGGCATTTCAAGGAATCTACAAGAATGATGCGCTCAAGGTCATGCTGTAAAAGGCTGGGTAACTCAAAGTTTCTACGCCTAGGGGACTTACAGAAATGGAAGGAGGAAAGGAGAACTCCATTTTAGATGGTAGGGATGGAAGGGGAAGATGAGTTCACCTTTACACTTTCTGAGTTTCAGGTCATTTGGGAGACTCCCACATAGAAATGTCCTAGAGGCAGGCAAACAGTGAACTGGATTAGAGGTACAGAGATGAGTTACTGGGCACAGAAGTGAAGGATGAATCTGTAAGGATTACCAAAGGAGGAGAAAGCCTAGAGAGTTACCAGAGGGTTTAGAAGTCTAGTAAATACCTACAGCTAAAGGATAAGAGGAAAATCAGCCAGTGAGATGAAGAGAACAGGGAAGCAGAGATATGAGGGGGCATAAGAGAAGTACTACCGCAGAGGCCACAAGAGGAAAGGGTTTCTTTCAGGAAGCAGTAAGGTGGTCAAGAGGGTAAAATGCATCTGAGATACAGGTGATGACAACCAGGGAGGTCACTGGTAAATCAGAAAGTAAGTGATGGCCTTAAGAGAGCAGTTTCAGTAAGCAGAGTTGTGCAATCAGATTGCAAGGAGCAGACTGTTCAATGGAGAAGGATGAGAGACATACTCTATAAGACATAAAGAGATCCACAGTCACATGAAGGTTTTTTTTTTCAAGACCAGACAACTTATGTATGTTTGAAGGAAGCAGAGAAGTCAAGAAGAATGAGAAACTGAAGGTAAGAATAAGAGACAGGTTTCTCAAAAGCAGGAGAGAATGGGATCTAGGTCACAGGCAGAAAGGTAAGAGTTTGAGAAGGGAGGGGAGCCTTGTTCTCTGATAGTTCCATTGTGAAGAACTGTGGTCAGTATACAATACTTGGAGTATACCTGCCTAGACACACACAGGAAATCCAGGAATGAAATTACAAAACATCCTTCACACACACAGACAATTCTCATCAATTAGAGACATATTCATTGCTCATGGGTACATCAAGCCAATAAAATGAAAGGGACAAAAGTACCTAAAATTAACTTACTTTTTCAGTGTCATACCAATCTAACTACCAAGAAAGTCCTTTGGTAGCAAACAAAGTCCATACACATCCGCAGGGGAATGGCTAAACCAACTGTGGCTTATGGATACAGTGAAATATTCTCATGGTATAAGAAACCACAACTGGGTTTTATATAGATACACAGGACAAGACTTACACGAACTACAGCAAAGTGAAAGAAATGAATGAAGACTACAAGATAAACAAGCACCACAGATAACCATGAGAATGGAGTGAATAAGCAACATCCTGAACTAAATGTTGTGAAAAGATTATGTCCGAGCGTGGCCCCAGAGATGATCAAGGAGGACATTCTTCCCTTCTCCTAATGCTGGGCTGAAAGTCTACTGGCATGGAATCTGCACAGAAGGCAGGACTCTGGTGCTGAGTTGGTTGGTTTTCCTGAACTCTTTTTTTCCCGTCTTGTTTTATTCTTTTGTTTAAGGGATAGCTCTGTGGGAGGGGGAGATGGAGAGGCTATTTGAGAAATGTGGGTGATAGGAAGCAAAATGAGAAATTACTCTAATAAAGTCAGTGATAAATATGTGTGTGTGCGTGTGTGTGTGTGTGTGTGTGTGTGTGTGTGTCTGAATGACTGTGTGCGTGTATGTATTAACGTATGTATAAAGTTTGGTATAAATTCAGGTTTTTTTCTGTTATTGTTTGATCTTTTTATCTGCCTGCAAGCTCATCATTGCTTCAAAAATCAAATCACCTGGTGGATAAGCTGCTGCTGGGCAGCCAACATGATCTGCAAATGGCCTTTATGTCTTCCCAGCTTGGTAAAGTGTGCTAGTCTGGGCTGTGCTGGAGAACTGTTGGAGACTCCCGGGTTCCAGGGTCACCCCACTGTGTGACAAGGTGCTAGGGAAGGCCTCTTGTGGGAGGCAACTGATTTCAATTGAAGTGGGGAAATGATGGGCTGAGTCAGAGAGGCAGACACTGAATTGCCCAATGTCTGAAAGTCAGCAAGTGGCAAAGCTTGAACTTTGATCCTGTCTCCCACACTGGGTTGAGAAGAATGAAATAGATTGTGAGCGGGTTGTCTGCCCATCTTGTGCAAAGCCTTCCTGACACTCAGCTGGACACACCTGGAAATATGAGGGGGACTATCCTGATTCCCAACGGTCCTCTCTCCTGCTGCCCTTGGCTGCCCACCAGGAGAGCATAGCACGGTGGAAGGTCTGTAGGCCACCGGGGTAGAAATACCAACCACCTAGAAGATGGGAGGAAAGGCTAATTGAGGCAGAGGCTGAGGTGCCAGAAGGGAAAGAAGTCCAGGGTGAGGACTTCCATCCAGACTGAGTATGGCAGTGTCACATCTATGTGAGCTAGGATCCCAGCCCAAGGAAGGCAGATGGGCTAGGGGCCCCATGATCTGGAAGGCTATGGCTAGAGCCACCTTCACCCAAAGAATCTTCAGGAAAGGGTTCCCTCTCTCATGATCCTCTCAGAAGTTGAAATACTTTTGGATGATAGCAAAAATAAGGAATAAGTTTCAGCTGGAGAGAGGACATGGAGACTGAACCCACAAGTGCTGCCTTGTGGTCCCAAGCCCGGTCAACACGTGGCCCTGTCCATTTTGAATGAGGACCAGAATGCTCTACAGAGAGGCTGACTGCAGACAGCCCCTGGTGACCATCTGCTTGTGGTGTCATCATTCCAGAGCCAGACTTGATGTCATGGTGGTCAAGTGATGCCTGAGTGATGTCATGGCTCCTGTCCAAGAGTGCAGCCCTTCTGGGATCATGCAGGGAGGAACGCCCTCTCTGTTCTCACCAATGACAAAGGGCAAGGCCCTCCAGACCTGGCATTGGCTGTATGTCTAGCTCAGAGAACAGATTCCTTCCTGACTCAGCTGCTCTACCAATCTCCCAGCCTCAGGTGCCAGGTCAGTGACCACTGAGGGTGCAGATAAATCACCTCCCTGTCCCTGACATGCTCAAGGTAGGAGGGATGGCCACCCTGACCTTGAAGCATGAAGCTCTGAAGCCTGCATACGCAAGATGACCAATAAAGGTTTGTTGGATTGGATGGAGAGGAGGACAGACAGCACAGAACTCTCACATTTGAGGCACAAGAGCTTGCTCATATGTGGCCCGGGTCCATTTTCCCAGTTCTTCGGTGCCTTTAGCTCCTTAAAGGATCCTCTTCAGAGCTCTGTCTTCCAAACTTTCCTTTGGCAGCCCTGTCCCCAAGCTTTTGCCCTTCCCACCCTACTGGAGTGGCTACTCTGGGTACTCCTCAAAGCCCACCATAACCCTGAAAACCCACAAGCAACAACATCCCCAAGACAAAGAGGAGCAACTTCTTCCAAGTTCGAAAGCTGCTGGATTTTATCAAGGTGAAGGAGGAGATGTTAGCGCCTGCCCTTCCCCACCCCAGGCTCCTGGGAGACCCTCCCTGAGTGGCAAATGAAACAACTAAAACGCTCTTCTCCCTCCCACCTCCACCTCCTGCCACTGGGCACCCAAGAAGAGGAGAACTGGGCTTGTATGGACAGTCCTTGGGGTAAAGTGGAAGGAGAAAACTTGGCTTTTTGAAAGGCACTCATGTTGTTATGCCAGGTGACATACTGCCCTTTGACAGGTCCGGTGGAAGATGTCTCCCTGTCAGACCTCCATCACCACTAGGTTCATATGGTGCTCATGAATTAGGCAGTCTTCTTTGGTCTCAGTCCTTACAATGGTTGTCAGTTTGGACTTGGAAGAGCTGCAGGAGGAAGCCCTGCTGAGGCAGGCTGGTCACCATTGGCCCAGCTTGTGCCCCAAAATCCAAGGCATGGCTGGGCCACCTGTGGGCCTTCAGGACACATGTGGTCCACTAGGTCCTCCAGCATGGCTGGAGTTCTCAGAATCAATCCCTTTCAGCAAAGGATTGATGCTGTAAAACTTGCTCAGTCCAAAAGTCACACTGAAGGACCTAGAAGGCCACATGTGGCCTGGAGATCTCCGGTTCTCCACCCCTGCTCTAGAGGCTCCTGGACTAAGCCCTGGAGGCAGCCTGGAAACCTGGCCATGCTCCTCCACAGAGAAACTGTAAGCATGGCCTGGAGACCTGGAAGACTTGGCAGAAAATTCTGGATTGGAACCCCAAAAGAGGAGTGTCCCTAGAAACTCAGGACCCTCAGACTAACAGAGGGGAGCTCACCAGATTCAGTTGTGATCAGAGTCAGGAACTACTGAGGGGAGAGCTCCTAAATGATACTCAGGAAGAGAGTCCCACTTGTAGTCAGAGCCAACCCACTTCCCTGAAAAGAAAAGAGGAATGTGGGCTTATGTGTGCTGCTAAATTTTGAACAACCAGCTCTGGAAGAGGGTAAGGCTCACACAACCTACTTCTCCCACCATCATCTTCAGTGGAGACACCCTATGAAGCCCTAATTGGTAGCTGACTCTCAGGAGCAAGTTCCAGCTGGTTCCAGCACCCCTGGCCCTGACCTGAGTTTATCTTAATATTCGTTGCATAAAAGTCTCAAAAAGCTGAAAAGGAACAGGGAAGCCTAAGGGGATATTGACTCGAGGGCAATGGTGTCTTTTGGAGCAGTGGATCTTACATTCTGACAGGCCCCAGGGAGGCCTCACTGACCTGATTAACAGAAAGAAGTCCTGGAGGGACGCAGCTGTGGACAGGCACTTCCAGGTGTTTCCGAGGCACCACTGGAATGCTCCCAAGAGCCCACCTGTAAAGATCCCAGCAGAGGGATTCAAAGGCCTCACCCTGCAAGCCCATCCTTTCCCGGAGCTAGCCCCTCCCAGCCAGTCAACTCTACAGCTGGTTCTTGCTACTCTGCTCTTCCATCCTCCCACAGCTCTTCAGCTGTGCTTGGGGATCCTTCCATAATAAGCCCATCTCCCCACACTGTCTAGAGTTACTCCACCCTGGCCCAGTTTGCCCCTGCAAAGGCATGAAGAAGCTCTTCTAAGTACACTGCAGCACCACTCCCCTGGGTACTGTGCCCAACCACTGGCAGAATCCACCTGAAAAGTTTATTGCCAACCAGCTAAAAATGCCAAGTTTGGAGGCACAGTTATTGAAGGTGGATGCAGAGCCAGGCTGGTGGATTAGGGACGCCCTGCAGAGAAGAAAAAATGAGGATCCACCCAGAAGGTGAGACAACCATGTTTGGGATCTTGAGCCCCGCCTTCGGCCTCCAAACCAGAGACTGCAAAGTTCTCTCTTCCTGTTATATGAGAGATACCAGCTCCACCCCCAGCTTTGAGGCACCCTTTAAAGTAAATGCCGCAATGCCAGGGGAATGGGGCTCCAGGGCAGAAGAAGTGATGCCTACCTGCACCATCATCCTCGGAGAAGCACCCTGAGGACGACCCGGGGATGTTACAGGTCAAAAGGGCCAGGTGAGGGGCTGCTGAGAGGGCTAGTGAGATGCCTGTGACCCAACCAGACTTCCTCCTCACATTCCTAGGGGGCAGCAAGTATGAAGAGCAAAGACATGAGGGTGAAAAGAAGAAGGGTGAGAAAGAAAGGGAAGGGGAAAGGCCTGGAGGGAATGAGACTGCTGGAGACTTCGAGGTGAAAAGAAATGATAGCCAAAGCCCTCTTTTGCAGTTCTTATTCCTTAAAGACATGAATGATTTTTCATGAGCGATGCAGGATCGAATAAAGCCCCAGCTACCATGGGCCACTAAGGTCTTCTTTCCAATGAAACCACCACGATGAGGTATGAGAGGAGCTTAGAGTCAGTTGAAAATGTGTCCTAACCCACAGGCCCTTCACCCACCTGCTTCACCCTAAGAAGCATGGGCCTTTGGGCCAGGGAGAAGAGTTTCTATGGCTTAGAGGGGTTGTTCCCTGCCCAGCTTCAGGCCTCAGAGTTTCCAGGCTTCTCCATGCTCAAAGTTGCCCCTCCCCAGTTCCTGTTCTCAGAAGGAGAAGGCAGCAGCAGCCAAAAGTTGGGTCAAAGGGGGAAAGGAAATTCTCTTGTTTGTGGGGAAAGCAAGCAGTAGAGTAATGGCTCCACCCAAAATGGGGGCAGGAAAGAAATGTGTACATGGCAGCAGCCAAGGCCCTTGGCTGCCCTGGGCAGTTGTGATGGAGAAGGCAGCTTAGTCTCCTCTGGCTCCTGTTACCTGAGAGGACCCTCCCTGCAGTTGGTGTGCTGTCCAGCCACCTGGGAACTCCCTCTGCTGCTGCTGCTGCTGCTGCTGGGGCTGCTCCCCTCATTAACATGTGCCTGGCAACACAGGCACAGCGCTCACTGGGCCAAGACATCCTCCAAGCCTTTGAGTTGAGTAATTCTAGAAATTCCAGAAAGAAAGAAAGAGAACCAGTGCTTACTGACTGAGTCATTTGACTTATATTCTGGGAGACCCTCAGAAGGAACTGATGCTGGGACCTTGAAAGGAAGGGACCACATTCCCTAGACTTCTTCCTCCAAAACAAAAGATGGGCTCGAAGCTTCTCTCCCTAAGTGTTTCTGAAGCATCTCCCAGGCACATTGATGACGGCTGCCTATCAGCCTCATGGCCTGCATTCAGCCCTTACTCAGCCTGGCCACTGCTCTACTCTTGATAGGATCCTGCAGTAGCCTTCCCTGCTGAAGCAGAGACTCCACTCTCTGCTAACTCCTTTCTGGATCTCCTCCTTAGAGCATCTTTATCCAATCTGAGCTGACACTGGCCTTATATTTGTTCTCAGGTTGCTTCACAAACACCACTTTCTCTTCTCCCCATAGATGGTAAGCTTGAGGGAAAGGACTGCCTTCACTTCCAAAGTCTTTGTCTTCCCCCACCACCCAAAAACCTGTTCTGGTGGGTGGAAGGGGTCACATGTACTGGGCCAAGCTAACCAGCTGATTCTAGCCCTGACCCTTAGGTAATTCGCTTCATGAGAAACAGTCCAGCCCTCTGAAGACTTTTTTTTCTTTTCATTTCATAGTCACAGCTCTTAAGGAATATCATGCTCATACTACAAATGAGTCCATGTTGACAAGTTGTCTCAGCCTCCAAGGCAGGCTCTGGGCTTTCCCATCTGCCTGCTCATGAGCTCCAACCTCAATGCCTCCTCAGGGATTTCTGAATTATCCAGCCCTGTGCAACTCCATGTTGGAGTTTTTTTTTGGGGGGGAGGGGATAGGAAGATCCAATAGGTGGAAAACTAGGCTTGGCATTGGGGGACTCAATTCAGTCATGGGCATCCCTGTATCTGGGGATTGGGGGGGAGTTAGGGGGTGGAGGAGAGTTAGATGTGCCTTGGTACAGGGGCTGTACAGACAAAAGAAGGGGCAGACACTGTGTCCCGGCACACATGAGTGAACCGTTGTATTCACTCAGGGCTCCAGACACTCCATGTCCCCGCAGTTACTGGGACCCCGGTCCTGGCATGGCGAGACCTGCCCCCGTAACTGCAGAGACTGTTTCCTCTCTGACCTGGCCGCCCCTTCCATGTCCAAGTCCCCCTCCGAGTCCTTTAGTGGGGACCCGGATAACACGAAAGGGAACTCGTGGGAAAAGCGGGGTACGGGCCAGAGGGGCCGCGAGGGGAGAGCGGGAGTGAGCAGGGGTGGGCCCAGCCAGGCCTTCATCCAGGGAGAATCATCCTTGACCTGGGTCTAACCCACATTAAAGGGTTGGCTAGAGGGCAGCTGGACTCTGGTACTGGCAGGATGAGCCTGTCAAGCCCGGGCATAGGTGGGTAATGAGCCCCATTCTTGCCACAGAAGAGGGGCATCTGAGGCCAGGGCACGAAGCGAGTTAACCTGTGCAGAGGAATCTTGCCACTTCTCTCTCTTCCAAGCATACACAAGTTTGCGCTTGCGCACATGCACATGCACACACACGCACACGCGCACGCGCACACAGAGGCCCACGCTCTCTCACGCACACAGGCACTCATAACACTAGGCAAATCAGCTAGACTGTGTCCCAGAGGAAGGTGAAATGTGTGAGATTCCTTGGAATTGGAACTTGAGCCCTGGCCTGGTCAACTCGATTTTCGGCTGGTTTGTTTGAGAGGGACATGAAGCAGTGGATCAAACAGGCCTGGCGCTGAGGGACTCCACTCAGTCATGGACCCCGCTGTTCCTGGGGATTTTGCGAGGAGAGGTTAGGGCATGGCGCAGAGGCAGGGGTGCAAAGCGGGTAACTCTGGGGGAGGGGGCCAGATATGCCCTCGCACAGAGGAGGGCACGGGGCTTCAGAACCTCCACCTCTCTAACACCTTTTCTCCCGGCCACGCCATGCCAGGAAGTGGCCCTCCGGGGTTCCTGCTGAGAACGCTGTGTCCGTCCCCCGACCGGCCGGGTCTGCACCAGCTTCCGCGTCCTTTGATGGCTACAAGGGTAACGTAGGCGGAAGGCTGGCGCGCGCCAGAGACACTGGGAGGACAGAGAGGGCGCGAGCTCCAGCTGTGGACACCCAGCCTTTGATTCTGGGAGGATCATCGTTGGCCCGAGGCTTCCCCAATTTAGAATCTGGGCTCTGGCATTGGGAGTTTGAGACCGGGCATAAAATGGGTAATGAGCCCCATTCTGGCCCGACAGAGGGCCATATGGGGCCAGGGAACTGGGAGGGTCAACGCTGTGCACTGGACTGTGGCCTGCCCTCCCTCCCCCCAAAACACAGATGGGTACACACACGGGCGCGTGCACTCACAAACACAGGCCCTCGAACCAGTAGGGAAAAGAAGTGGACTTTGGCCGAGAGGGCGGTGGAAAGGCATCCCATGGCATTCGGAAACGCGCCCAGGCCTGGGAAATTCGATTTTGGGGTTGTTTGTGGGAAAGGGAGATGAAGCAGAGGGTAAAAACAGCCTGGCGTTGAAGAACTGCACTCAGTCATAGTCACCGCAGTTCCTGGTGATTTGGGGGGCACCCTGGCAAAGAGGGTGGGCAGGGAAGAGAAGGAGCTGACACTGGTCCCTGGCACAGAGGAGGGCAAGAATCTCCAGACCCCCTCCACCTCTCTAACACCTTTTCTCCGGCCACGCCATGCCAGGGCATATCTCTGCGGAGTACTTGCCGAGACCTCTCCGACCGTCTTCCCATTGCATCGTCGCGGTCCCGACCTTTGGTGCCTACTGGAGTAACACCTGAACAACGCTGGGCACCCACTAGAGGGAGTGTGAGGAAAAAGTGGGCGCAATCTCGCACTAGGGGCAGCCAGGCTTTCATTCTGGGAGGATCATCCTTGGCCTGGGGCTGCCCCAGTTGAGAGGTTTCCTAGAGGGCAGCTGGCATTGAGATGATGAGAGCGGCCAAAACGTGGCTTAAAGTGGGTAATGAGCCCCATTCAAGCCAGCCAAAAGGGGCATATGGGGCCATGGGACTGGGAGGGTCATCACTGTGCACGGGACTGGGGCCAGCTCTCCCTCCCACTAAACAGAAACAGGTACATACACACATGTACACACACAGAGAAAGATAGACTGACACCACTAGGAAAAGCAGCCCGACTTTGTCCCAGGAGGAGGTGGAAAGGAATGCCAGGCCTTGGCATTGGGAAGCAAACCCTGACCTTTGAAACTCGATTTTGGGGTTGTTTAGAAGAGGGGGATATGAAGCAGGGGCACAGGCCAGGCACTGAAGGACTCAACTCAGTCATGGACTTGCCTGTATATGAGGATTTGGGGCAGAGAGGACAGGGGATGGAGTAGAGACACCTGTGCCTGGGGCTGACTCTGGGAGGTGGGCAGTTGTGCCATGGGACAGAGGGTTGTGAGACAAGCAGAGGGGCAGACACTATGGCCTGGCATAGAGGAGGGCACCATCCCTG